GCATTGCCACTGGCGTTAGTATACCTGGGGAAGCTGAACACCGGAGGTGAGTGACCCACAAAGGACTAGGTGGAATCTATGTTCCCTATATTCTCAAGTACTTGGAATTTACAGACTGCAGGCTAGGGGGATCGTTACATCTGGTAGATTTCCTATTTCTTTCCCATTTCCCATTGCTGGTAGAGCCCAAACTCCATCAAGCAGAGGAGACTGAGCAGCAGTCACTGGTGGGACTCCATCTTTCTCGCAACATCAAGTCATCACCAGCAGGTGCAGGATACTTGTATGAAAAGTCCCACACTTGGGGTCCCACACAGGGGGAAACCCACACTGCCCCAGACTGACAGCATACCACTTTTATTACCCCCTCACCTCAGTAACCATGATGGTATTTGTCATTCCCTGGCTGCCCTGACTCCTGTCATTGAGTCAGTCAGTTCAGGATGAGAAAATCTGGCATTAACATCTTGCAACATGAACCTGGGTGGCATCCCTTTTAAGGTAGCTGTCTACTCAGGCATAAGGATGCATGCCAGGAGGTGGTTGTGAAACACGGTAGCTTCATAAATTCCTAGAGAAGCACATAACTTCAACTGCTCACTATCTTACTGGCTGAATCAACAGCTATATCCCAAAAGGCACATCCAGAAATAAAAGGCCTTCATTTAAAAACAAAAAAAAAAAAAAAGGAGGAGGAGGTTCTTCTAACAAGATCTTTTCATTAGGAGGAGGACAGAAAGCCTCCCAGGGCAACTCCAAGCTACTGGCTTGGCAGCACACGCTGTCATGCACAGACCTGGTGTGCCAGGAAAGCAGCACACCCAGAGGTACTGATCACCCAGGGCAGGATGCTATTCCTCTAGCCAGATGTCATGGCATGGGGATCTGTGATGAGCAGGTTCTTCTAACAAGATCTTTTCATTAGGAGGAGGACAGAAAGCCTCCCAGGGCAACTCCAAGCTACTGGCTTGGCAGCACACGCTGTCATGCACAGACCTGGTGTGCCAGGAAAGCAGCACACCCAGAGGTACTGATCACCCAGGGCAGGATGCTATTCCTCTAGCCAGATGTCATGGCATGGGGATCTGTGATGAGCTGCCCCCAAAATGATTCAGATCTGGCCTTAAGCTTTTTGAACTAATAGGACCTTCTTCCTACTTCGAGCAAAAGTAGCTCTTTTGCCAACTCCCCAACAATTTCTTCATATAGCCACCAGAAACTCTGTTGGCAGTAACACTGTGCTTACAGCACCAGCAAATACTCACCAGCATCAGTACCCTCAGGACACCACCAGCCCCCACTGTCCCTGCCCAGCCCTCTGGGGCTCTCCCATGGTCCAGAACTCCACATTATCCCCCAGGGCCATCAGCCTCTATCCCAGCAGCACAGCAGGGCTGGTCCCCAGCTCCTCACAGCCCTGCCTAACCATGGGTCCTGCTGGTTTGGACCCACCTGTGGGCCTAGGAACTTCCCCATAAAACGAGTTTGCTCACTCTTCATCCCTTCAGTTGCTATTATTGCAGTTACTAACGTAGACTAGAACATCCTCCCTTTTATGCCTGTTTTGCAGTAATTTATTGTTGCAACATAGGATTGAGTCATGATTTCTAAGTGAATTTTCATATGGGAATGCCAAATGCTCACGTAGCAAACTAACACTGTGAATTAAAACAGCCAAATCACCACAAGGGCCAACATGCTGAAGGCTCCCTTTGCTATTGCACACCAGGGTTTTGAGCAGCTCCACTGAAACCCCAGTGGCCCTACCCTTCCAAATGGGCTGAAAATGGTGGGGAATCAGACATAGAAAATGATCTCATTTATAAAGACAAATATTAACACATGTTCTAAATGATTGTTCTCAAGAAAAAACCCCAACATTTTCTTATTGCCAATGGCTTTCCAATTTATGCATTTACAGCTGTTTTAAGTCCTCTAGCGTTGATCTGCATATTTCACAAGAAGATCAATGTTTTCATAGCTTTTATTGAAATCTGTCATTAAAAACTCTTTGGAGTATTTTGCCTTTTTGCAGTCCTAATTGACCTGAACACAACTCTTTTTAAGTAAATCATCGCATGATTTAACAGGCCTTTGTGTGCCTCTTTTTCTTCCTCAACGGTATTTGACCTTATGGACTGCAGCAAGGCTTTCACTATCACCACTATGTTGAAGAATCGCGTCTCAGCATCCCCTTTTCCCCTGCGCTATTTGCCACAGAAACACCATGACAGCATCTCCTCGGCTCCTGCCCAGCTTTTAAACCTGATAGGACTTTTTAAAGCAAACGCTGTGGGTGCAAGTACTCGTACTTAAAGTCACTTGAGCCATAAAGTTTTCATTAGTTCCTCCTCCCGAGTGGGCTTTCCTCTATTTTCCCTTATATAAGCACCTGCCATATAGGCTTT